AAATTATGCTGAGATTGTTGAGGAGTCAAACAGTGTTTACAGTGGTCGGAATGCTCTCATTTGTCACAAGAGACATTTACAGATTATCTTAAAAAATGCCAGAAGAGAGGGATTGATCGCTGATGTAAATCCAAGATACTGAACATGGACACTCTGCGTCCAAGAAACCTAAGCTTGCGACCAGGACTAGCCGTCATCCAACTGTGAAATTTGTAGTAAAGCAACCACTGTGAGCCACGATTACTTCCCTGTCAGTGGATACCGACAGTTTCCTGCATGACAAAGTTCCTGCTGGTTCTTCACAGTCTAACAGCTATCCACCCACTACAACGAACGCCAGTCAACAAATTTGTCAGACAAATGTATGGTGCTGGCAGTAAATTTTTACCAGTCTACCGAGATATGTATATCTTCTCAGACCTGATCTACAGGAAGTCATGTATCGACTTCGGAAAGTACTGCACGACCAGTCGATTCTACATCGACCAGCCATACCTCTACTCTTCTCTATTGACCAAGCCATTCCGGAATTATCTACTGCGACTACCATCAACTCTAGCAGAAACCAGGCATCGACATTGCCTACCCAACAGAGAAAGAGCAGTCTTGACCCAAGGATATTCAGAATATTTGCCATTCAGAATTGACTTCAAAGGGTTGACATTGTACCACGAATGACCCTCCGAGGGTTGACATTCCTAAGGTCGACATTCGGTGGGTCAACATTCAGAGTTGACTTCGAAGGGTCGACATTGTACTGAGAAGTCGACATTGAACCACGATCGACCCTCCAAGGGTTGACATTCCGAAGGTCGACATTTGGTGGATCGGCTTTCAGAGTCGACTTCGAAGGATCGATATTCTACAGAGAAGTCGACATTGAACCACAATCAACCCTCCAGTGATCGACATTCCTCAGGTCGGCATTCCGCAGGTTGACATTCCTCAGATCAACAATTCAAGGGTTGACGTTCTTCGGATCAACAATCCAAGGAACGCAGTCGTAGATTTCGAGATTGATCAGATAAGGAATGACTTTCGACAGGTCGAATCTTTAAGGGTTGACATTCAGATCACTCTCCTCCAGGTCGATCGTCACTGGAACAAACTTCGACATCGAAACAGGGAGATAACTCCGATTCAGGGAATCACCTCTCTACAGATGATAGTATGCACATGAACTGAGGCGTTCTCATTCTACAGATCAACATCGTCACCTCGACCGATCACATTCATCATCATTCAAAATCTCAGCATTATTCCTAGCCACAATCATCTCGACACTTTGGTTACGAAAGATGTCGACTGATATCGACATTGATCTCCATTTCATCGATACCAATCTATGAGATACTATCCTTATCCAACAACTGATCGATACGGAGACTATTAAATTCGGCCCTACCCTGACTATCCGTCAACGAGAGATCAACATTGATATTAGGATCGACAGATGGAATGAGATCGACCCTCTTCACACTCATTTTCTGAGTCACCGATAGAGACTCACACGGGCCAGCAATATCCAGACAAGTCACTTCCTTCTTTACATCCAGTTTCGAACCCTGTTATTAGTATGGCTCCTCCAATATCACATCCCCTATTGACATCACAGGAACAGAGTGATTTATCTGAACAAATGAGATCTCTTCTTCAATCCCTTCGACAGTCTTACAAGGCACTGAACAGTCGAGGACAGATACAGCACTCGCTACCACAACGTCACCAGGAATAGAGATAAGGGATAGAGATAATAATACTTCTACTCCGTCGGATGCTACTCCTGAAAGTCTGACTTCACCTCCGTCATCTATGGGCATCTGGATCGCAGACACCCTCCATCTACCTCGTAGTACTTCAAAGGGCAACATCAACTCAGGTTTCGCGATGACATCTAACACTGCTTCTCCCATTACCTTACCACCACTGGCGATCATGTTGGACTTATATCAGGCATTCAGGGCCTTCCACAGACAAAAGGACAAGTTTTAGATGCCGAGATTCAATTTAGCTGATACAGGAACTCATGGGGTGACTAATCAATCAGCGACTCCAGAACTAGATGGAAACATCACATCTATTGCCCCAAAGCGCACATCGGTTACATCTCTTTTAGATGATAAGGAGTTAGCTCATCTGGATTTTACTATTAGGTGGACCCTACCATTACTATCCATTATTCTGTCAGGCATAGAAGCTATAGGCATGTCAGTTCATCACGCAAAGTCTTTGGACGAAGCTTATGTCAGAGGGACTGTCAACTTGATCCAGAGCAAGTTCCAGGATTTGATGGAGCTAATTACTGACCAGATGGAAACATTTACTGCCATGAGACGTCGGGGACTACTTTACTACTGTCCATGGGAAGAACAACACAAAGTTACATTCCGTCAGATGCCTTGGTTATCTCCCAGCTTTTTGACAACAGGATCCAGGGGGTTGCCAAGGAAGTTACTAAAGAAATGCATCTCCAGGTGTCAGTTGATCTCTTACAGAGACTCTGGAGACTCGCCTAAGCACGGATTGCGTCATAATTCTGATAGCCCCAGCGTGTCCCAACAGAGCGTGGTTTCAAAGACTGATTTCACTTCTCATAGAAGAGCCTCTTAAACTGCCAGAACATCACGATCTCCTCGGCCAACCCAAATCGGACACATTTTACGACAACCTGACAAATCTCCATCTTCACGCCTGGAAACTATCACGACAAAGATACAAGTTTCCAGGTTTTCAAAATCAGCGTAAGAAGCGGTTGCTAGCTCATGGAGACCAGCTTCCTCAGCTATCTATAACGTCAGATGGAGAAAGTTCTGCCAGTGGCGAATAGAAAGAGGTTTGCATAACAATTATAACAATACCTATAGTGGCTGATTTTCTTCTTCACCTGAGAAATGAGAAAGGGTTCAGACATGGTACAATTGAAGGTTATAGATCAGCATTAGCCTCAGTTCTACAACGTGATGGTTTATCCATAGGATCTCACACAGTATTAAATCGACTCATGAAATCGTTTTCACTGGAAGACATAAAAATCCCACGCATTTTCCCTAAATGGAATTTATCCATTGTTCTGTTTGCACTGATGGAAGCTCCATATGAATCAATGACAGAGGCTACACTTTTAACAGTTTCTAAAATGACTGCCTTCCTCTTAGCGTTAGCTACAGCTGCTACAGTGTCTGAGCCTCACGCAATTGATATCGCATCTATTACGCATTCACAAGACTGGAGCACAATATCTTTCAGATCACTACCAGAATTTTTATCGCCAAAAACCAGGCATCAGCGTTTGGGCCTCTAGGACATAGACAACACTCTATCCCATCCCTGAGTAAAACAGTGGATCATCCAGATAGACTATTATGCCCCATCAGAGCTCTGCGCTACTATATTTCAGCTACTCAGAACCACAGGAAGAAAAGAAAACGGCTCTTTATCTCTTGCAAGCCTTCGTCAGAAAAGGACATTACTAAGGCAACTGGCCGGATGGCTTAAGAAACACTATATCTGATAGTTATCGTCAAGCCCAGCTTTCGACACAAAAATGGGGAAGTTGCAAGGCTCATGAAATCCGTGCACTAGAAACAAGTCTGGCCTCATGGAATTCAGTTTCCATCGAACAAGTGGTATCAAGCTGTCAATGGAGATCCCACATAACGTTTACTCATTTACTCATTTACTCATTTCTACCTACGAGACGTACAACACGAACTAGAGGGACTATACTCCCTGGGGCCCTTGGTGGCGGCCCAGGCTATAGTCACTCAGTAGCCTATCCACCCCCTGTTCTGTTGTAGTTAGGGGTAGTGGGGGTGGGGGTGGGGGTGGGGGGTGGTACCGGTGGGAGTGTGAAGATGCCCAAAAGTACCTCAAATTAAGGTAAGTTAGCCTTTACAATATGTCAACTAGGTTGGACAGATCAATGGCTAACATCTGGGATCATAGATCATAAGATGATAGGGTTATTACACTGTTAGTTGCTCGGCGTAACATGTATAACTACCGGAGGTGTCGTCGTGGAAGACTTCAGAACCAGAATTACATAAAGGGTATGTTTTATCACCAATATATGTGAAGTCATAATGACCCAAATGATGTCACAGGAGATTGAACCAAAAGTGTCTTCATAGATGTTCTCAGAACCGGAAGTGACGTCAGAAAGGTCATCAAAACCGGAGAGAAACATAAAAAATGTGGTCATATTTCACCAAAACAGGTAACAATTATGAGATCATAAAACGGGAAGGACGCCACAAGTGCCAAGTCTTCTGCAGGTTTGCCAAGGGTGAAATCAGGAAGTCTGGCATTGGTTCATACCCCGTTGCGCCTGTGTTTTGCATTACTTCAATGCTGCCAATTATCCGGGAGTACTAGATGACAGATCCCACCTGTCCCTCTGGTAAATACTGGCTATGATGTAAAAGAGGTAGGATATTCGTAGGAATTATCAAACAATAGTTATCATTGTGTATAATTCTAAGAATAGTACCTCTAAACATCAGGAAATAGTCCCTCCCACCTCCCCAATATATCTTACATCTAGTCGATGAAGGTTATTGGAAAGAAGTGATGTTTTTCCACCTTGCGCATGCGCAGATCGATGCAGTTTACCTCAAAACTGGGGGATAATTGGCAGTGAAGAGGACGTCTATCAAAAAATCTAAAGATTTTATAGTGTGATTATTGCCAAAATGGGAATTTGTGTCTATGATGTAATAGAGGTAGTATTCTTAGAATTATACACAATGATAACTATTGTTTGATATATGTTTATCATGTCAATAATAAATGGTACTTCTTAGGGGTGAAATGATACAGCAAGGTCACGATACGATACATGTCGTGATACGCATATTCACGTCAAATCGAGTGGAAACTTCTGGAATTAAATACTTCAGTGCAGGTTGATGAATCTTCATGCATCATTGTACTACAAGTTCTTCCTCACTGTAAAAAAAACAAACAAAATATTCAAATAAGAATAGCTTTACTCTTGTTTGTCAGTGAAAGTCACGAAGTCAGTGAAAACAGAATATGTGAGTGACTTATATCAGTAATCTGGACTCCGAGAACCACAACTATTCAACAACCATCGACTTGAAGTTATATTTTTTTCAGTTCATTTCAAACTCTTGAATCAACAAACAGCATAACTACAACTTTCAACATAAACAAACTTCACTAATTTGAATGACGGGTTGAAAATGTCCTTTACATGTTGCAAGCTAAATCATAGCTTCATGGTTTTATTTCAGAAAAATATGTATGTCAACATAGTCTGACTTGAAGCTGTCACTTTGTCCCCTGCTGTGGAGAAAACCCCTTCAGGGGCACAGATGTTACAGGGATACACAAATACAACTTTGCCATGGTAGACAGCAGTGAAAATCTAGATTCATTCCTTAAGGGAAAAACACTGCTCTGACACATAACAGTTAACTTGTTCTCAATCTCATTAAAATCAGATCTTAGTTCTAAACGGTAGCGAGAACTAAGATCTGATTTTAATGAGATTGACTTGTTCTTCAACCCTTGTGAAAAGCGACTTTTCAGATTTCACAACTGAGGTTGTGAACACATCATGAAACAAATCTACATGGCTGTGCTGGCTGTTGAAGTAGAAGCTGTGGGCTCTGGTTCTGTTGATGTTCCTCCTTTGGTGGCAAATCTGTCACATCATCTGCAGGCAGATCACTGACATCAGGTAGCAGAGGTAGGATGAGCTCCTGCTCATCGTTACCCTCATCACAGACAGGCTCAAATTTTACTGCAGGCTGAAAGGTAAATCAAGAAATGGAGAGACCATAGATCATGAAATGATTCAAATGATGCAATAAAATACAATAAAGAATATTATCAAATGCAAATTCATCATGTTCATTGGTCATGCAGTTGTGACAATTGGCAGCAGCATTTTGATTCATGTTTTATGCTTCCTTGTTCCCTCCCCTGCATCACTAGATTCACCGCTATCCAACCATGCTGCTAGATGATGTTGCATAACGTGCAACTTCATGTTCGTAGCTTTGCTGTTATGTCGCAAGATTGTGGGGCAAAACATGCAAGCAGTGTGCTCATAGTCTACTTTTCTCTATTCATTAATATAATAGACATGAAGTGAAGAAGAATTTCAACACTTCACTTCTGAATTTCGCTGAAGAACATTCAATTTCACCGGCGGGATATTGTTTAGCATCAGTCGCCATGCTGACAGACTTAACGGAAGTACATACAACCTTATTGGCAACAAGCACGTTTATGATTGGCTGAGAGTTACTTTGTGATGAATCAGCATGCTTGTTACAGTTTCAAAATGAAAAGCTAGCTGTATTTTGGTAGTGTCTGACTTTGTGTATTTAACTCAACACTAATTACAATTTTCATTATATTTAACTGACAAACACACTGGGAAGTCATTAAACACGTTGAGTGAGTAATTTATTTTAGCAGTGTATCGCCTTCTCTCAATACAGACAAAAGCGTAATGTGTGCATCTTATTTAGGCATTTGGCAATATGCACCGCTATATTGTTTCACCCCTAGTATTTCATATCTGAGGTTATTTTATACAGACAATAGTTGTTACATCAAGTTTAAAAGAAGCACATACTAATCACAACATATGGATAATCTGTTGACATATAAACCCCCCCAGCTATGTGTTTTGTCCCTGTGAATGAATGCATTTAACCATTTATAGGCCAATTCATTGTCATCCACTTTTGTTAAGAAATGTGACTTTGACATGATAACGCAAGAAGTGTTTACTAAAGTCAGATAAATATTAGTACATATTATCTTTATGACAGCAAATTAAGGTACGTGTAAAGGTTTTTAGTTGCCTTCAGTGGATTTGTCTTTATTAAGACATGTTGGTATGGCATGTTTGTAAGAACATGCAACTGTGTTTCCATCTAGAAATAATCAAACCTGTGATTGGCTAAAAATTGCATAAGGTTTATTAATCTTGAAGTGCATATAACATTCTTATTTAGATACTAGCTTTTGAGTTGGAAGACATGTAATTTTCTGTTATAAGTCCAGAAATACTATATATAATTCTTCAATTATGTAATAGACATGTGTTTACCCCAAACCAGAAGTGAAGTCATTAAATCAGAAGTGCCTTTATCTTTCTTTGGATGGTATCTTGAGGCTTTGGACTTTCATTTTTATGGTTGTTTTGCATTGGATTTGTGTTTTCCCCAACCTGAAGTGATGTTTTTGAAACTGGAAATGCATATAACTGTCTTACTAATTTTGCCAGAAGTGATATCATTTTAATGAAAGTGCTTTTAACTTTCTTATTAAGGATGCCTGAGGCATGTAGAACTTTCTGGTTTATAATCATATTGCAGTGAATTTGGCATGTGTTTTTGAAACCTGAATTAAACTGAAAGTGATATCATTTAAGCAAAGATTTGTTGCAATGTGTGTGAAGTGATAAGCATATCAATTCTGTGTTTTCAGACAAACTTGTCAAGTGCTGCAGATACTCTTGACAGTATTGCAAATGGCTCTTTCCATGACACCAATAATGCAAAGGTAAGACCATCTTTACATGTACGGCTGTTTTTTGTTTGAGGATCTACTCTTTGCTCTTGGTCTAGCTGCCCATGATTGTCTTGGGGGGCCCTTAATGGAATTATGTGATCAAGGCTTGCTGACTTGAGATTGTATCCCAATTGCATAGATCAGTGCTCATGATGTCATTCAATGGATTGTCTGGTCCAGACTCAATTATTTACAGTGCATTAAGCAATAAACAAATAAACCAACAAATAGAAATCTCTGCATGGATTTGGTTCAGATTTGGTTCCAATGTGTTTAAGGTTTGTTTGCAGACCCCAGATGATTTGTGGTGACTTCTGAATATATTTTTAAGGACATTGGAAATGTTTGACTCAGTTGCTGTTTGTTAAAGCTCTCAATGCTAATGTCGAACTCATTCGACACTAGCTGTGCATCTGATGTTGAATCTATTCGACAGGTGAATAGCATAAGGACACCCCCAAACAAAACTCGAAATATCTTTTTACCAAGAAGGCTTTGCGTAACATTTAAATTACCGGTACGTATGACATGCATAAATGCTCAGGTTGACCAATATCAATACTTTCAGTTGGTTATTTACCTCAAAAAGAAATTTAAAAAGTTACGGCCAAACAATGCTCTGTGACATCATCGAGTGAGCATAAGCTCCTCCGAGGGATCTATCATCTCTACATGCAATGTCATTAATATGCCGAGTGATGTTGAGAGTTTTGAATATTTGTTTATTAAATATAGCCTGCGGCAGCGCATTTTTTATTTCATGTTTTTCGTAATTCAAGTGGCTAAACTGATGATAAATGGGAACTTATATGCATATATTATTTTTTCGATTCATTAATTTTCATTAGTATGCACAGGAATGCAGTTTATTAGGTAATCAGAGCTCCAAAAAAGCTGCGTATCTGCGTGAAATACGCATCAGAAATGCAGAAATGCGCAGTAAAATATAATCCAAGCGTATCAAATACGCAACGAACATTACAGATATGCTACAAAAATAAAACTTGTGCGTATCATCAAAATATTGTGAAGTAACCACGATGACAGTTACATCATGATCATTTGCCATCACACTTTCTTGTGGAAGTATCGTGGTATTTTTTAGTCCTATAAAGATCTCGAACCCACACGACACCAGTTTGGAGGGACTAGATGAATAGTGTTTTTAAATATTTAACTTAAATACCCACATGTGTAAAAACTAGTGGGTAACAGAAATTTGAATACGCAGATAGAATTACTGATACCCAATGATTTTAAAATGCATTGTGCCAAGGATATAATAAAATGCTCTTGAAAAATTCAGTTGTTTTACGTTTGTTACTCCAGAATGTTTTTTTTATATACCTACCTAACTTTTTGGGAAAAATGTCCATTAAAAAAAATTATGAGACACATTTTTTTCTTTCTTTGATAAATTGGCCTACCTCACTTTTGAAATGAGTTTGAAGCCCGTAAACCAAGAAATAAAAAATGTGTCGCCTAATGAAATAAACAGAAAAAATGTAGGTCAATAAAGACAACAACATAATTTCAGAAGGCAATGAAGGTTCTTCAAAAATGAACCAATATGGAAATCTAACTGATACTCATTGTATCAGATAAAGAATCTTTATTGAAGTTTAGTGTCATCAATGTCAAAAAGTTCAAATTATTTTTTCAGAAATAATTTGAGCATTAGTGCTGATGGAAACATGCATTGGTGGCTGTCTGTGTTGACATTCAGAACTACATGTCTAAGTAAGCTTCAGAGCTGTGGCACTGTTGTTGTTGATTTTCTAAACATCCAAGGTGCTAATGTGGCTAATACAGTAGCTAGAAATGTTTCTGCAATTATCAATTATGTCTGTTGCCTGTCCATGGTCATTGTTTACTTAATATGGGTTTTTAATATTTCCAGAATAACCTGGTTGGATCCAGTAACAGCCTCCAGAGTTCTGTAAGCAATATCCCAGTAAGTTATAATATTTTTAACTCGCATCGACCAGTACTTCAACTTCAAGCAAACATCTCTCATTTTTGCTAAGTGTATTTATTGTATGATGCCTTATTGGAACTTCCAGGCAGGTAAATGCTTCTTTGCCACTTTGGCAAATGACCTGTTCAACAGAAGTACATGACAAAAGACTGGTGGCCAGAGTTCTGATCTCATGTACTAAATATGAGCCCAGAATGGGAGGAGCTTGAAGCTATAGAAGCTTGTTTACAGGCTGACGTTGCTTGGCAGGAGTGCTGCTGTGTTGTGTCAGGCAATAAATTCTTACTTTTTTATGCCAATTGTATAAATGGCGGGTGCTTAGTACTAGTAGGTCAGGACATGCTTACCCTTTTCGCAAACACCTGGTGTCATCACTGATTTCAGTGGTCCATTCATATAATTTTCACACTTGCTCACCCAAGTGGAATCTGTTTCCCCAGAAAATCTTAGCTGGTTTTTCTGTTGCATTGATAATTTATATTTTGTAATGTCCCGGTCGGAGTTGGATATAAAGAGTCTTTTCCGCCAACGTCGATAGGGGTTTGCAGCGACCAGGTAGTATTTAAGTGCATGGATAGGACATAATAAGTGGTCTGGAAGATCTACCGTAGGTCCAAGTGCAGGAATAGTGTAATCACAATGGCCTAAACGTCCCATAGCAGTGAACTGTTTTGGGGATACAAAGTCTGGCGGAGATTGATTTCCAGTCCTTATTGGGTAAGACTTTAGTAGTCCAAGGTGTATAATTTTGGAAACCCGACCCGCAGTTACTATGGCTACAGAACAGCAGCTTTCTATGCCTTCAGTCGGTTAGAAGAGCCAATAGAAGTACATATATATTCTATTTCGGAAGTATCCTGGGAGTGCGAATGCCTTCCAGAAGAAAAGATCTCATGAGCCCGTTCAAAATAGGGTGGTTGCTGATGATCAATCTGTCTTGTTGAAGAACAGTGTAAGGAGCAGATCTATCCCTCAATAATGCCAGGACGGAATTTATTATCCTGTCAGAGAGAAAATCGGGAACCATTGGGATAGTGAAGAAGAAGGTCTCTGCGCAGTTGCAGTGGGAGAGGATCTTCCATCAGAAGTGACAAGAGTCTGGGAAACCATGGTCAACTGGGCCAGATTGGTGCGATGAGAATGATGATACATTCTGTTATTTCTGTTACGGATCACTTTTTCCAGGAGTGCCATGATGGGAAAGGCATAGGTGAAGATGCCGGTCCAATACATTGACAGGGCATCTAGTATGAATGCCTTTGGTCCAGGATTAGGCTGGCGTAAGTGGAAAGCTGATGATTGAGGCAAGTCGTAAACAAATCCAAATGTGGTGTGTCCCACATCGCTGTGATCCATTGGAAGAGATCCATTCCTTGGACATGACCCTGCCTTTCTGGGAGAGACTCACAACTAGGGTGTTCAAATTGCCTGGAAAATGCCTGGAAGAGTATTGCAAGAGTCTGCCAAGGCAAATAGCCAAGAAGTTTCTGTCATCAGGGAATGGTACTTGGTTCCTCCCTGTTTCTGATAGTGTGGTGTGTTGGCTCGAACTGATGAGTTGTGGACTAGATCCTTCCAGGACAGAAGTGCATAAAAATTACTTTTATCTTACAGCAATTGATGTGAAGAGGCAGATGATGGGCTGGTGGTAAGTGAGGGGAGTGCCCTATATTACGACATTAATAGTTCACCAGTGAAGGCTCTGACGTCAGTTGGTTGGTAAGGACACTTTGGGTGTTGATAGAAAGATCTTGTATATGGCATTGATCCAGGATTGTAGAGGGCGTATCTACAGCCAGCCCTTGTAAGTCATATCCTGTGATGAGATCAACTTGCTGAGAAGGGACATCCACCATCTGATCGAAGGACCGGGATGAGATACTGGCTTTTTTATCATTAGTAGCATGGAGGTATCGATCATCCAGAGGGCAGAGATATCCCATGGTCGGAAGGAAGCGGGCGCCTATGTAAATGATGTCCTGAGTAAGAGTCAGAGAAACCCTGATGTGTCAGAAATTTTTTGGGCGTTTTGAATATGCTGAGATTTGTCCTGATTGGCCACTACAAAATTGTACTAGTATCTGTGGAAGTGCATGTTATCCTGGTTAAAGAACCAAGTGGCAATCAAGATCCTGAACGGAAGTACCCGGAACTTGTAGCAGTGGCCATTGACTGTAAACTGGAGATATCTCTGGAATGAAGGAAGAAACAGCATGTGGAGGAACGCAGCTTGGACTTCAATCCTGAAGAGCCAATAGGCTTGACATAGTGTTGACTAGTTATTTCGGCCCGATTACATCTGATATTTTGGTGGAGGATCAAGAAGGAATTGTTCAGGACCATTGGGTCTATTATCCTCATTTCGAGAATGTGTATCCATATCTTTTTCCCGTATGGCCTGCTTGACTAATAGGGTTTTGATAGCGAGTGTGGCAGCCACCAACTTAGCTCCTTTCAGAGGGAATCTGTTGCCCCTGGGTCTGGATACAAGTTGAGACCTGGGATTCGAAATGAAGCTTTTATCTGTGGTTGACAACGTGTAGGATCTAGTAGTCAGATGTATTAAGTCTCCAGTTGTCGGTGAAGAGGGACAGACGTCCCCCCCCACTGGACCGGGAGTAGGTATACTCTTCAAAAACAGAAACGCAATACGGATATTTTTGGCCATAAAATCAAAATAAAAAGTCAAGAGGTGCAAAATGAAAAGGTTTAATATGTTATAGTGTCTGTTTCAAATTTCTCGGATCAAAATGATCTCAACAAGGACATGGAAATAGTGAATCTGGAAACATGTACCATTTGGGGGAAAAAAGGCCATGGAGCTGCATGCACTGCACGTGCAGCAGCACTAAGAACAGTACAGTCAAGTCTCGTTAATCCAACACTCATTAATCCTACAATCAGCCTTATCTGACACAAATGATGGGAACTGATTTAATCAGTGCTGTTTAGACCTGTTAATCTGACAGTCTCGCACTTCGACTCCCACACACCTAATTTGCAACGAATTGCTGAAATCACTCATTAATCAGTCTCGTTAATCCAAAACAGTGATCAGCGTACTCCGTGGTCATCTGCCCGCGAGTACACAGCCCCGTGTTTTGATGCAAGACGAGTCGGTGAGTAGCTGCATATTTCAATGGCTGAGGACTACTGCTGAGGACATCCCATTACAGGTCATCTCAGAATGACCTTTCGCGAACTTTGACCAACCAATGAAATTACTAACAGGAAGTCGACATTAGCCACCAAGAAAGCAGCTTTCTCAAGCATTGCGGCACTAGTTTCAAATTAGCGACTTCCATTCAAGACTATGCTTTAGAAAGTAGTTTTGAATCAGTCATACAGTCCGTAACAGTAGTTTTGTGAATATTTTATTTTTCCTTTTCCTATGTGTTCGTATCGTTTTCTATTGTGTTGTTGTCCAAATTTCGATCAGGAACGTTGAAAGTACCTAATTTTGTTTATCCAACATACTCGTTAATCCGACATAATTATATGCAACCAACAATTAACGGGACTTGACTGTATTAAAGTGCACGGTTTTTGATTGCCTGGCATCTGCGTCAATCGAACAGTGACAGTTCAACAACATACCAAGATTAACAGAATTGCAAATAAACAATGTCATAGGCCGCTTGCAGGCAGGGGAATCCGGATCAGCTGTAGCTAGGGTTTTCAATGTAGCGCCCAGCACCATCACAAGGCTATGGGATCGGTTTCAACAGCATGGGTCAACACGTGATCGGCCAAGTCAGGACGACCAAGAGTAACCACCTAAGCCCAAGATCGTTACATCCAACTGTGTCACCTACGTGAAAGGAGGGCCACAGCCACCTCAACCGTATCCCAAATACCCGGACTGCACAGGATCTCCGACCGTACGAAACAATTTAAGAGCAGCAGGTATACGAGCAAGACGTCCTGTTCAACTTGTCATATTGAGTCGACAACATCATCAGCACCAACTGCATTGGTGTCGTCAACGGAAGTACCCGGAATTTGTAGCAGTGGCCATTGACTGCAAACTGGAGATATCTCTGGAATGAAGGAAGAAACAGCATGTGGAGGAAGGCATCTTTGACGTCGATCCTGAAGAGCCAATAGGCTTGACATAGTGTTGACTGTGGTTTTTGGCCAGATTACATCTGACATTTTGGTGGAGGATCAAGAAGGAATTGTTCAGGACCATTGGGTCTATTATCCTCATTTCGAGAATGTGTGTCCATATCTTGGAGTTTCAGATTGGCCTGTTTGACTAATAGGGTTTTGATAGCGAGTGTGGCAGCCACCAACTTAGCTCCTTTCAGAGGGAATCTGTTGCCCCTGGGTCTGGATACAAGTTGAGGCCTGGGATTCGAAATGAAGCTTTTATCTGTGGTTGACAACGTGTAGGATCTAGTAGTCAGATGTATTAAGTCTTCAGTTGTCGGTGAAGAGTCGTAACCCACTGGACCGGGAGTAGGTATACTCTTCAAAAACAGAAACGCAATACAGGTATTTTTGGCCATAATTTATGTCTGTTTGGTCCAATTTTTGATCAGCAACGTTGAAAGTACCTAATTTTGTTTATCCAACATACTCGTTAATCAGACATAATCATATGCAACCAACAATGTCGAATTAACAGGACTTGAATGTATTAAAGTGCACGGTTTTTGATTGCCTGGTATCTGCGTCAATCGAACAGTTACAGTTCAACAACATGCCAAGATTAACAGAAATGCAAAGAAACAATGTCATAGGCCGCTTGCAGGCAGGGGAATCCGGATCAGCTGTAGCTAGGGTTTTCAATGTAGCGCCCAGCACCATCACAAGGCTATGGGATCGGTTTCAACAGAATGGGTCAACACGTGATTGGCCAAGTCAGGACGACCAAGAGTAACCACCCACGCCCAAGATCGTTACATCCGACTGTGTCACCTACGTGAAAGGAGGGCCACAGCCACCTCAACCGTATCCCAAATACCCGGACT